GAGAAACAGAGTCCACAACACATCTATCCTCCATTTGTCAAAGTAACCAGTGGAATTTTTACGTAACATGGCTTCCCAATGTAGGAGTGTTTATGTGGTTAAACTATTTTCATTGGAGATTTTCAGTGGGAAATTTCAATTTGGAGAACCTTCAATGATTTTGTTAGGGATGAGTGAAACCACATTTTATTTTCAACCCAATACCAAGGCCAATTGTTTATTTTATTGATACCTCTATTCAATATTATTTTCCCCTGTAATATCCAAAGATAAAATGGATAAAGCCATTCTTAGCATTTAAAAGCCATTTTAACATAGGCCTAGACTATTTGTGTGTGTGTGTGTGTGTGTTCCATTTATTAACCCTTTAAAGCCTGATATATGAAATGATAGTCAGAAAAGTTCATTTTCCTTTTTAAATGGAACAGTGTATTTAAAGGGATAGTTCACCCAAAAATGTAAATTCTGTCAGTAATTACTCACCCTCATGTTGTTCCAACCCCGTAAGACTTTCGTTCATCTTCGGAACACAAATTAAGATATGTTTGATTAAATCTGAGAGCTGGATCACTCCTCTATAGGCTTCTTAAGGGATCAAAGCTGGCCGGCCCAAAAGTTATGAAAGACATCGTTAAAATAGTCCGAGTGACTACCGTGGCTCAACCTTAAGTTTATCAAGCGACGAGAATACTTTTTGTGCGCAAAAAACAAACAAAAATAACGACTTTACTTTATTCAACTAATCATTTCCTTCTCTGTACGGCCGTGATATTTCACATAGTGATATTGCGCAAAGCTTCTAGGTTGCACGTCACACGCAGGCTCACTATTGGCCGACCCTGGTCATGTGTGTGATGCGTGACGTACAACCTAGAAGCTTTGCGTAGTTTCACTACGTGAAATATCACGGCCCACAGAGAAGGAAATGATTAGTTGAATAAAGTCGTTATTTTTTTTATTTTTTTTTGCGCACAAAAAGTATTCTCGTCGCTTGATAAACTTAAGATTGAGCCACTTTAGTCACTCGGACTATTTAACGATGTCTTTCATAACTTTTGGGCCGGTCAGTTTTGATCCCTGAAGAAGCCTATATGGAGGAGTGATCCAGCTCTCAGATTTAATAAAAAATATCTTAATTTGTGTTCCGAAGATGAACGAAAGTCTTACGGGGTTGGAACAACATGAGGGTGAATAATTACTGACAGAATTTTCATTTTTGGGTGAACTAACCCTTTGACCTTTAGGGGTGTCCAATCCAGGCAATGGCACCTGTCAATGTGTGGGATATATTCTTGAATGTCATGTGTGGAAATCAGGAAAAATGGGGAAGCAAAAAGATCTGAGCGACTTTGTCAAGGACCAAATAATGACGGCTAGATAACTGGGTCAGAACATCTTCAAAACGTTATGTCTTGTGGGGTGTTCCCAGTATGCAGTGGTTAGTACCTAACAAAAGTGGCTCAAAGAAGGACAACCAAACAGGCATCAGGGTCATGGGTGCCCAAGACTCATGGATGCACATGGGGAGCGAATGCTATACTGTACAATCACACAGAAGAGCTACCGTAGCTCAAAGGGCTGAAACAAGTAATGCTGCCCACGATAGAAAGGTGTGAGAACACACAGTGCTTCGTATGGGGCTGCAATGCATAGCTGAGAGTCAGATCTGGACCATGAAGCAGTGAAAGAAGGTTACCTGGTTTGATAAATCACCTTTTCGGTTTTTAGATCAGGTGTGCGCCGTTTATTAGTCAGGCAAGCAGAGGCAGTGTTATGGTCTGGGAAATCCTGGGTCCTAGCATTCATGTGGATATTACTTTGACACACACCACCTATCTAAAGATACACCCCTTCTTTGCAACGATGTTCCCTGATGTCAGTGGCCACTTTCAGCAGGATAATGCACCCTGCCACACTGCAAAAATTGATCGGAATGGTTTGATGAAAATTTGAGCTTAAGGAGTTTTGCCTTGGCCTCTAAATTTTCAAGATCTCAATGCAGTTGAGCCCCACCAACAAATTCAATCCATGGAGGCCCAACCTCGCAACTTGCAGGACTTAAAGGATCTGCTGCTAATGTCTTGGTGCTAGATACAACAGGACGCCTTAAGAGGTCTTGTGGAATCCATGCCTTGACGCATAAGAGCGGTTTTGGCACGATGGCACCATGGGGATCTACACAATATTAGGCAGGTGGTTTTCATGTTGTGGCTGATTAGTTTATACTTCAGGATTTTATGGCCCCTATAGTAAGAATTTAGAGCACATGCTTGAGGAAGAAAAAAATATATACATTTTTATTCAGAGGCATGTGCAATTGGTTATTTATATGTTCAAAAAGTAATATGAAATTCTGATAGCTTGTAATGTAAATCAGTGAGATTTATATAATAGTATAACAGACTATTTACATTAATTTACATAAAAATGTATATACAGTAAATATCAGTTGTCACTCTGTATCTCCTATTAAGATGATATTTAAATACTTAGTTTTATATTCAAAGTTCTGTATTTTTTATTGTGGGGGGCAAGCATATAATTCATACCAATGATGACCTAACCCTATGTTTAAACAAACGTTGCTCAAAGGTCTGTTATATTTTTCGAAATAAATACACTCACCGGCCACTTTATTAGTAACACCTTGCTTCTCGACATCCCAAAGCTGCTCTATTGGATTTATCCTTAGGCAACAAAAATATATGGGAATATACTGCAAAATATAATGCGATATATCAATTACATAATACATTTCCATATATGGGAAACTAGTGCTTATATTGATCAATATACTGCAATATATGCATTGACCATGTATTGCTATTAAAGAATATAAAGTATGTATAAATGAAGACAAAAATAGCATTACATGTTATATTCATAAAGTTTATACTTTATTGTGTACATATATAGCACATAGATGTTCCCATATAAATGTGAATGTATGTTCACACACATATACACACACATTCATGGAATGAGTTACAACAGATTTCTAGTTCCCAGCATGCTTTGCTTCTGACTGACTTCTGAAAGGAGAGTAAATGTTAAAATTAAGTGGAAGATATGTTAGTGTTTAATGTTCTATTATTTTGGAATTTAAAAGGTTTTTCTGGTATGTCTAAATTTTTGGGGTTACCATTGTGCTGAAGAGTATAGTCTGTGATTCGTTTGATGATTGGCCAAAGCTAATTAAGACTATAATTACTATATTTATAAAATATTGACTATGCATTTCTTAGAACAGTGATAGTCTCTTGGTTAAATACTGTAAAACACGCAGGTGTGCTTGTGCTTTTGATAACAAGCTCGATAATATGAAAACATTTACACTCACCTAAAGGATTATAGGAACACCATACTAATACTGTGTTTGACCCCCTTTCGCCTTCAGAACTGCCTTAATTCTACGTGGCATTGATTCAGCAAGGTGGTGAAAGCATTCTTTAGAAATGTTGGCCCATATTGATAGGATAGCATCTTGCAGTTGATGGAGATTTGTGGGATGCACATCCAGGGCACGAAGCTCCCGTTCCACCACATCCCAAAGATGCTCTATTGGGTTGAGATCTGGTGACTGTGGGGGCCATTTTAGTACAGTGAACTCATTGTCATGTTCAAGAAACCAATTTGAAATGATTCGAGCTTTGTGACATGGTGCATTATCCTGCTGGAAGTAGCCATCAGAGGATGGGTACATGGTGGCCATAAAGGGATGGACATGGTCAGAAACAATGCTCAGTTAGGCCGTGGCATTTAAATGATGCCCAACTGGCACTAAGGGGCCTAAAGTCTGCCAAGAAAACATCCCCCACACCATTACACCACCACCACCAGCCTGCACAGTGGTAACAAGGCATGATGGATCCATGTTCTCATTCTGTTTACGCCAAATTCTGACTCTACCATCTGAATGTCTCAACAGAAATAGAGACTCATCAGACCAGGCAACATTTTTCCAGTCTTCAACTGTCCAATTTTGGTGAGCTCTTGCAAATTGTAGCCTCTTTTTCCTATTTGTAGTGGAGATGAGTGGTACCCAGTGGGGTCTTCTGCTGTTGTAGCCCATCCGCCTCAAGGTTGTGCGTGTTGAGGCTTCACAAATGCTTTGCTGCATACCTCGGTTGTAACGAGGTTTTTCATCCTTCCGCGTTTGACGCAAGGATGCTCTTGCGTTTCCGGTTGGGGAGATTTAAAGCGGAGGAAAACCGAGGAAAACGGGATTATGAGTCTTCAAAATTTACTGTCCTCTCGTCTTTGAAACGAAACTTTAATACGTTTAGATGTAATTTTATATATAGTTATGTTTATTTAATATAATAAACACAGAAGCATAAACAAAATGTCTGTTTTGTCTGTTTTTGTGACTAACGTTTCTTTAGTATAGCAATAGAGTATAAAAACCAATTTAAATTCTCGGTATAGCATTGGACTCTACGATCGGCGGAAGTAATCCAGCATCCTTAGACCTTCACCGGAAATACCGCCGTGCATAGAGCCCATTGTGATCTCATGTGAGTGACAGGTTGTACCGCCCTTGTGCAGGGAAACACGTCATCAGAAAAGAGATGTCATTGCAAGAGGGAGGGGAAGCTATTTTAATTCAAAATTATGAGGTAGGCTACATGAATTTTACAAAAATAATAATGTGCACTCATAAATAATTTTTAATAAACAATATTCCATAAAATAAAAGACTTGTCAATTTTGATTTCATTACTTTAAGTCTACCGTAAGATGTGCTACACCACGTTTTTACATTGTACTGGAAGGTTTAAATTCTTCCTGATAGTAAGCTCCTTTTCTTATTTAGAAGATGTGCTATTCCTCATGATGTGTTGCACATCCTAGCACAATTAGACAACCAGTCGTAGATAATCCTAAAGGTCTACCCCTGAATTTTAGAACAATGGGTTAAAGTAGGCGGGTTGTAACATAGGAGGTGTGTCTTGTGCTAAGAGGGGGCGGGGCTGGAAGAGTTCGTCACCCTCGTGTGTTTGAAGCAGTCAGCTGAGCACAACTTGTGCGGACGCGGCTCTAACCTCGTACAACATGCGGGATCACAAGGAAAACGTTTAACCCTGTGCACAGTTTGTCATTCCAACGTGTACAGAAAACAATCCAGTTAAACACCCTCCCTTTAAATCAACTTCTCCGTTCTTTTTTCTCGTGAAGATTGCCAGTTTGGAGGTGAGTAGCATACCAGATTGTTTGGATGAATGTGTTGAGAACATATGGTTTCGTGCTCATGCTATATCTAGAGATACCATATGGGGATATAATTTAGGAACATGAATTTATAAAGTGTTTTGTATGGAATTTACAAAACATACCCGTCAACAAACGAGTAACTTACATTTGCAATAAGGTCGACTTGAAGTAAACTTGCACAGATATAGGTTTTGTGAGTGAAACGGTCTCGAATAGAGTCGGGTCTGCTGCCAATAAACCGGTAAACTTTGCGCAGGCGTGTTTACAAACAACTTCAAGAGTCGGTGTATTTTTAGATCGTATTTATAGTCCTAGGTCTTACTGTGAAGTTTTCTTTTTTACGGTTGGGATTTGAGAAATGGATATATTTTAAAACAAATTACTGGAACCGAATGATTGTCATATGATGTGATTTTCATGTTTGATTAACGGTTATCGGACGTGCATTCTTCCGCCGATACGGATAACTTACATGTAGCCCACTGACCGTTTCAACGCGCAATTTAGCACCGCTACTGCAAAAACATCGCGAAACACCAGAGTAGTCCGTGCGAATGGCTTTCTTTGTAGTGAGATAAAAACATAGAGAGCAACCAATGTAGTCTAGCTCGCCACATGAATGACTCCTGGGAGCCGGTTCCTTTCATGTTAGTCAATCAGAAACATTCAAGCACGACTGGGTTAACTTTAGTCCTGGAGGGTCCTGCAGAGTTTAGCTCCAACACTGATGAAAACTCACCTGTAACTTTCAATCCTGAAGACATTGACTTGCTTGTTCAGGTGTGTTTGATTAGAGTTGGAGCTAAACTCTGGAGGAGAGTGGTCCTCCAGGACCGAATTGCCCATCTCTCATATTTACGAACCAAAGACTCTCATGAGCCAGTTCTTTTTTTTTTTTTAGCGAATCAGCTTCATAGGGGCGCCATTGGTGTAGTCAGATTCCAGAGCGAATGACTCCTTATGAGCCGGTTTCTGTAGGCTACTGATTCAAAAGTAGATGAATCGTTTGGAGTGGTTATTGAATTAATCTGAATATTACTTGCTGAACAGTTGTTACTTTCATCGGTATCGTAAAGAATCGAGAAAAGTTAGTGTGTTATTGCGGGGACGTGCATGAGTGTGTTACTGACTAGTTGTCATTATGAATGAATGAATGTAATTTTATGTTACCACGTTTGTTTAGTATTTTTATGTTTAATGTATAGGAACAATTATTGGATTGCATTTATGCCATCTTTAAAAAGTCTATGTAGCACACCTTTTGAATGATTGCATCACTTTTATTTTGTTTGATTTATTTTGAAATCTGACATGATTTTTTGGAAATTCCTATGATTCCCTTTCTAAATTTTGATGCAGAAATGGCACATTTCTTCTAAATTTTTCCACCTTGAAAAAAAAGTTTAACTTTTCTGTTTCTGACTTTTAGATTTGGTTTTAAGATAACAGTTCTAATATGAGAGGAGTTTCAGGAAAAAAGAAAAAAAGGAAGCTTGTTTTCCGCCACAGAATAAAACATTTTAAAAGATAATTGCAAGTTTACATTTTGCAATTCTGACTTTTTTCCTCAGAATTGAACGATATAAACTCGTTAAATAAACTATTGCATGTTTTAAAGTCAGAATTACAAGATTTAAACTCTCTATTGCATGGTAAAGTCAGAATTGCGAGATATAAACTCTCAATTCTGATTTTTTTTCTTCCAATTGCGAGTTTATATCTTGCAGTTCTGACTTCTTTTCTCCGAATTGTGAGAACTCTATTGTCTACATTTGTTTGTTATTGTCTAAAACAAAAATTGTCTCGCAGTTGCGACTTTATATCATGCAATTCTGAGATAAAAAGTCAGATTTAAAAAAAAATATATATTCTTTGGCGGAAACAAGCTTCCATACATCCATTGTACAGTCAAAGTCCCTTTAAGAAGTCTGTAAGTCTTTGCTACAGTGTGCTATTAGACTACAACATTATCTTACATTATGGGATTGTGCAAATAAATGTTTTTTTTTCATGTGCCACAAATGCAAATGAGCTGTCTTTCATTTCAAACAATTGCCCAAAGATATTGTCCAGAAAAGTTATGTAATATTCTTGTGCGAGAACTCTCTCCTTCTTCCACACGCGCTAACACAAAGGAGGTGTATCTTTTTTCTTTTGTCAAGGAAGGAAGGGAAGTTGTTTGGTGGTTCTCTAACAATAGACTGGCCGAGTGCAGGGGTTGGATTTTAAAAGGCATGTTCAGGCACACATATATGAGTTTCTCTCTCTCTCTCTCTCTCTCTCTCTCTCTCTCTCTCTCTCTCTCTCTCTCTCTCTCTCTCTCTCTCTCTCTCTCTCTCTCTCTCTCTCTCTCTCTCTCTCTCTCTCTCTCTCTCTCACACTCACACTCACACTCACACTCACACTCACACTCACACTCACACTCACACTCACACTCACACCTACACCTCAACTAAATGTGTGGGTTTTATTTGGCAGAGATTCTGCAGAATGAAATGAAGCAAGACGACAACTCCAAATTGCCGCCTCCAGGGCTAGAGAGTTCAATTTAATGTCATTTTAGTTCACAAATACATATACCTAGTGCTCACTAAGGGAGGTAAGAATAAGGAGAATCTTGATAACATCAAGCTAGTCAACATATTCTTGTTCAGATGGCACAGATTGTTCCTTACTTCACTTATCCCCATATTTTTGGGCACTGTCTTTAAGCCAAGGTGACATGTTAGTATAGTATATTTATAGTCAATAAATTAGTTATATAGTTGGGTGTTTGAGATATACAGTATCTTAATGTGAAGGTTATTTACACTGACAGTGGTTTGAGGCATCCAAACGGCAAGACGTTTTCATCTTTATTGAATTTTTTTTGTGGATGAAAGTATAGGCAGTTTCCTCATTTTCCTTCTTTATATCTTTCTTTATATCATCTAGTCTCTCGGATGTTGTCTCCCACCATCCTACTTTATTTGACTGTTCCCTCAATCTTTAGCACCAAATGTAAGTGTTCAATTTCATCCTAAAAATAAACAAATCAGAATGTACTCTGCAGTCCTGTGAAACAGCAGTTAGCTTGCTAAGAAAAGAAAAAAAAGATAGATAGAGAGAGAAAAAATGTGTAAGAGTAGTGTATGCATTATTATTAGCATTGGCCACCTAGTGTCTTTAGGGGGAAAGAGAGAATAAGCAAAAGTGCAAAGGTTTAGAAAGGGAGAGTATGTTACATGTGCTCTTAATTTAACCATTGGTGACTGATCCAGACCCATTGTGTTTGTTTTGGTCAGAGTTGCTGAAGTCTATACAAAAGTGGTTTCGGTCAATCCAAAGCCAGTTTATTTAGAGCAAGAGTGCACTAAAACTACACATGGACTGTCATCCAACCCATCATACTCCACTGGCTCGCATGGACAGTTAGTGGGAACTCGTGTTGGTTTGCATTGCGCTTCAGTCTGTCTCCAGTCTGATTTTTCTTTTTCTCGCTAGCTCTTTTGTTTGTGTGTGATCACACGGGTGGTCCATGTTAGAAAGATTCTGACCTGATTTTCTTGGAACACACACATACCCAGCTGCCTCCGATGGACCGCCACTCCGTCACAGGGCAGTAGCTCTTTTGATCCCCCCACCGTACCTCTGCTGGCTTCCAAAGCCTATAGATCCTCCACGCAAGCCAATACGACACAATGCACTGCTCTAACTTTTTCCCATTCACAGCCAAAGCTTAACCTTTTTTGTTTAACTTCTATTTTTTTAATCAAATCATGTTGACCTTTAACCCGAATCACCTTATTAGGCAGGATTACTATTATAAATGTAATCAATATATAAACAATATATATTTAGTATTGGTCAATAACAGATTAAAAAAATGCTATATATCGGCCAATAACCAACATAGCTTGATGTGTTAGAAAATGGGTCTCGTCTTCAGGCAACATTCCTTCAAGGTTTTGGGTGGAGTGAGAGACACTTCGAAGTCTTGGAAGGTTCAAGTTGTATTGGTATTTTCTATTTTTACTTGGATATGTTTTAGGGACTTCAGAGAGTGGCTGTAGTCTCTCAGAAATCAGTGATGTATCAACATTTTTTTTTTTTACTAAACACTAAAGCAGATATTAACTTATTTTGTCAAGAAATTAAAATAAACTATCTGTAAATAAATTCTTATAATTGAACTCGATATTTCAGCCTAACAAATTTTACATGGTTCTACTCTAGAACATAATTTTTGGTTCAGTGAAGTGCGTTTACACTGCTGATATGTTTAGCTGTTGTACCTTATCCACGTTTTAAATGCATCATCAGAGAAGTGCTAATTAAATACTTTTTTTCAGTCAACATATTTGGCTATCCAAAACTATTTCGGCCAAAACCAAAAATGATGTTTTATTGCTGTTTTTGGCCAAATATTTTCAGTTGCTGAAGTTTTATTTTATCTGTCAGTATAGCAACCAGTATAGTTTTATTATACAATCTTGGCTAATAATGTACGATAGATTACCCTTATGGCTGGGTGGTATGACAATATATAGTTTGGCGATGATAATAAGTGTCTGTCGTTAAAGATTTTACTATATTGTTTATATTTAAATATATCCTTGTATCACAGTTATAAGTTATTAACACTTTAGAGTGATGAAATGCACATGAATAGCAAAATAAAGAGCAGGACATGATGTTAAAAAGAGTTTAGTGCAATAAGCAACTGAAAAAACACCTCAGTGCTGTGCTCGTATTGACTGTCACAGTGTGTTTCGTGTGTGCAGAAAACCACCTCTCAGACGGCATGTGATACTTAATTCAGTTCTTTTTCGCATGTAAAATAAAAAAAAAATCAACTTTTTGGTGAGTATTCACTTAAACACACTGATTTCTTAAGTTAACGTAAACCGTAAAAACCTGATGTGTGTTAGTATATTAGATCTGTGCATGCTGTTTTAATGTGCATTGAAATAGCCTAATATACTCGCTGCTGTTTGTCA